ATGGCCTGAAAATTAGAATTTGTGGGAATTCTACTGCCTGGACTTAAGCCTTAGCTCAGTTCCTATTTTTTTTGTAGTCACCACACCTCGCAAGTTCATCAAAACTGATGACTAGTCAAGTTTCACCAAGGAGCAATATGTGATGCCAAGAGTCCAGGCCAGAAATCAACAAATTTACTGTGTTCCTTAGATTGGTCTACTATTGGTAGACAATAGTCTACCCAGTTGACCTTGAGCAATCACTTAAGGCTTGGTTTCCTCATCTACAAAGTAGATCCAGGTGAGTTGGGATTTCCTAAATTCATTATTTGATGGGAACTCAAATGGCCTTTCTCCAAATACTAACTCTCCTCTGATCTGTGTATGTTTGTGCCATCTTCTGGGAGAAGGTGTGGCACAGAGTTACAAAGGGGTGGGAAAATAAAATGTAATAATACCTGATCTTATTGGCATTATGAAGAACATGAAGACTAAAAACATTGTTTTCAGCAAGGCTCTGTATAAGACTATATAAAGAAGTATAAGTAGGGGAGTATGGTGATAGAGAAAGAGTAAATAATATAATATATACATGTCTGAAATGCCAAGGCAAAACCCCCTTGGACTATCAATATTCACTTTAAAAAAAAAAAAAAGGACAGAAGGGCAAAACAGGTCGTTTGTAGGGGTGGGTATTATTGGGAGGGGGGAGGGCCTAAGGAAAGGGTGAATGAGAGTGAATATGGTAGATGTATTTTCTATTCTTATATGAAAATAAGAGAATGAAACATGTAGAAATTGTTCTAAAAAGAGGAGGGGGAAGTAAGGAGAATGCTGGAAGGGGTAAATCTAAGATATATTGTAGGTGCATATGTACAACTATTATATGCTAATAAAAAAGGAAAAAAGAAATATAACTGCTATAAAATTTTATGACTTTAGGTAATATGTGGAGGAAAAGAACTCCTCTTCACAACAATGCCTCCCATAGAATTGTCTTGCGGCATTTAAAATTACACAAGTTTACTACCATCCTTCTTTTAAGATTTTTTTTTCTGGCATTCAGTGATTCTTCTGTTCATGTTGTTATCTCCATTTCATTGAATGTAAATTCTTCAATTTATTGAGTTACTACTTTTCTTGCATGAGATTGACCTTACTCAGATGTTTTATTGTTCTTAGAGTAGAAACATGACTCAGATCTGTACAACTAGAATATTTCATCTCCCTGGCCAGGGATATTTCAGGCATAGATGTATGACTGACAGATGGATTCCCAACAGAGCCTTGAGACATCAGCAGAAACTATCAGGAAAAATAAGCTCTCTTCTTACTAGGATTGCTGAGCCATGCTGTGAACCAAGAGAAACACTGTGCTGCTATGTAGGAAGAGCTTGCCTGAAATCCAAGCCAACCCACAAAAAGCAAGGTCAACAGATGAAGAGAAACAGACCTCCTCATTATATTGAGTACCTGGATCCCTGTCTATCCTATCAATAATCAGTAACAGCCATTGAATTACTCATTTGTTTCAAGAGAAGCCATTTTAAACATTGTATTTATTTATTTATGAGGTACTGGGAATTGAACACAAGGCCTTCTGAATTGTAGGCAAGCACCTTACCACTGAGCTACATCTCCAGCCTTTAGTGTTTTAAGACAGGCTGCTGCTACGTAGTAAGGCTGGCCTTGAACTCATGTCATTCTGCTCCACATCCCAAGTGCTAGGACTATAGCCATACACCCTCATGACCTGCTTAAATAATTTTTGTCACTTGCAACTGAAAGTAATTAAACTAGAACGTGTGGGTCTGTGGGAGAAGTTCAGGATTCACTAACTTCACCTCTCTTTTTGGGGGGCGCGTATACTGGAATTTGAACTCAGAGCTCTGCAGGTGCTCTACCACTTGAGCCACACCTGCAGTCCTAACTTCTTCACTTCTAATACAGGGTAAACTTCTTAAAACTTTTTCTGGCTTTGAGTTTCAGGACATAATTTAGCACTACAATTTGGATGATTTTTGACTTCACATATTTTGTGTAAAACTTTTCCCTCCACTGTGAAGTGTTTCTCAAAATAAGCAGAAGGAACATTTGCAGTGCACTCCACACACAGACCTTCATACCAAGTGCTTCCTTCCTTCAACATTCACCTCAGGAACAGGGGTCTTTCCCTTTAGGTTGTTCTGTGGAAAGCCAGCTACAGAAATGCCAGCTTGCTTCTGGAATTTGTATTGGATTTCTTCAGATACACAATATGCTTCCAATTATAGCAGAAAACTTAATCCTGTGAAAAGAACTCAGGCATCTGTGGTTTGAAACTCCTTTTGGGGGTGGCTGTGATGAATATTTCTTAGTTGGTTGGATGATCTTCCTTTGCTCATCTCATCAGGTTTCCAGTAGGGCAGTAACAGAAAAAGGCTCAGGTGACTTCCTAGCAGTGTCTCTGTGCTTTCTTCCAAGTGGGCTCTGCTGAAGAAGCCCTCCCGGCAGAAGCAATGCACACTCACTGAGTGCTTCAGAGTTGGAGGGGTCTCTCCCATTGACTTGGTCCTTTCTGGCTCTCACTGGTCTGATGTCTTATTGATAACTACCTCTTCCTTTGCTGACTTGGTCTGTTCTCAGCCTCACATCACTTTGGACCATGGTTTCTGGCAGGCATTTTACCATTCAACCCTCTTTTTTGGGTTTTCTCTAGGCCCTGAGACAGAAAGGTGTGTGTGTGTCTATGCACACCTATGTTGGGACAGTGGAGGGAGCAACATGGTCCATTATCAGAGCTGTAAAAGGCCCTCTGTGCACTCATTTCTCTTCTAGAAGCCAACCCATTGCTAGTTCAGGGCACTGTATAGGCTGTGTTCTTAGAGAGGTTCAGGTAGAGTCAAGTCCTTCTGCTCATAGACTCAAAATTTATCCAGCAGCTTTTATCAGCCAAACCTCCCCTATCTTACCCTCCACCCCCATTGATGTACTTAGTTCTCACCTAGGTTCTTCCTCCTCTTTTTCTCTCTGAACCAGTTGGTTTTTATCTTTATATTTTGGGTTTTTTGGTGGTGGGGGACACGAACAAGCTAGGCAAGTACTTTAGCACTGAGCTACATACCCAGCTCAAGATATTTTTTTAATATATTATTTTCAACTTTGTGGCCCATAGTCTATGCCTTGAATGGCTATCTACAAAGTCGACTTTTTAAGAATCAAAAAGAAAAATACAGGTATCTTTCCGGTCAAGCATCTGCCTTCGCAAATTCTATACTCTAGGTTTCAGACTACACTGCTTTTTTATAACTAAAAATTAAGATGGTTGTGGTGGTAATGCCTGTAACCCAACCATTTGGGTGGCTGAGGCAGGAGGGTGGCCAGTTCAAAGCCAGTCTAGGTAACTTAGGAAAACTGTATCTCAAAAAAAAATTTTTTTTTTTACTTTGGAAATTTTGGTTCTTTGTCTCTTCAAGGCAATGGAGCCCATAAGAGGAAGGTTACAGGGCAACAAGTTAAAAAAACTGGTTTAAACTTTTACTTATATAATCTAGGGATTTCATCATGGTTTCTTTTGCTTGCTACGAACACCTTGCCAAAGAATTCATGAAAGGAGAAACCATAAAACTTCTGCATCTTTTAAATAGCCACAATTCTGCAATCTTACCCTCTCAAATTTCAGCAATTAACCGTCAAAAGGACAAAACAGCAAAAGTAGAAGCAAAATCCCACGCTTCTAAATTTCTTTATGCTGTTAGGTAGTTTCTTCCGGCATAAGGAAAGAGGGCAATATTGCTTTCCTATACTAGCTGAATTAATTATATATAATTAAATGCATATAAATTACATGTCTTTTGTTAATCTCTTCTGGTCTTAGGAAAAGCGACCTTCTTGATTATTCTGAGTAAGCATTTTTACATCAAATTTCAAACACCGGAAAATTCATTTTAATCATCATTTATCATTAAACTTACTATTCACATTTACGAACCTTTTTAATTTTTTTTGGCGGCACTGGGCTTGAAATCAGGGCCTCGCACTTGCTAGGCACACCTCCAGACCCCAATTACTTTTTTTTTTTTTTTTCCCCTTGCCGTACTGGGTTATGAACTCACAGCCTACACTTTTTGAGCCACTCCACCAGCGCCCCCCGCCTTCTTTTCTGTAATGAATTTTTTTGGAGATAGGGTCCGGACAGTCTTCGAACCCCCAGCCTCGGAGAGTAGCTAGGGTTACAAGGGTGAGCCGCCAGCGCTGCACTTACTGATCTTCATCTTAGCACACACGCACTTTAACATGGAAACGTTAACAGTAAGCAAGCCGACAGTGCTGGAGTACGTTTCAAGCGCCAACACTGAAGTGGAAAAAAATGCAAGGAAAAAAGGAACTCTAGCGGGAGGGGTTTGGGATGGGAATGACGGCAGGCGCGTTTGCACCAGCCTCCAGTCGGAGGAACACTAATTCGAGCGGCGGGAACGGGCCCTCGCCCGCGTGGTCACAATGGTGTCCCTCTGCACCGGCCGCCTAACGCTGTGACTCCTATTATGACTGTCTCCCAAGCACCGCCACCTTCCCAACGTCGAGACCCCGACGGCCTCAGAATGCTTGGCTTGTCCGCATTCAAAGCAAGGCGAGGATTTAAAAAGTGAGCCTTTGTTTACTTTGGCCCCCGCTCCGCCGCCAGCGTCTCAGGACGTCCTGGGTGACTTTCGCGCCAGGACCCGACGGCGTACAGGGGCGGCCGGCGTCACAGAGTGACGCCGGAACGCTCGGGCGTCCACCGAGGTTCGGGGCGCGGCGCGGCGGCTGAATCCCAGCAGCGGCCCGCCCTCGGGGGTGGGTGGGAGGCGCCAAACGCCCGCCACCCTCTCTCCCTCCCGCCTCCCCGGGGCCCTCCTCGGCTTGGCGCGGTCGCTGCGTCGCGGCGGCGGCTCTGGCGCCGCAAAGCGTCCTGGGAGAGCCGGCACGCACCGGAAGGACGCCGGGCGCGCGGCGGCGGCGAGGTTATAAAAGGGAGAGAGGCGGCGGCAGGCGGAAGTGGGAGGTTCAGCGGCTCGGGCGCTGTTGTTTGGGCCTCTCGAGGGGCGTTCTCTGGAGGGCCCCCGGCGCAGGCCGCAGTGACAGGGCCGCTCGCCCCCGCGCACCCCGCCTCTCCCGGTGCAGCGTCGCTCGCACTCCCCGCGTCCTGCAGGCCCAACATGGCGCAGGAGGTGTCGGAGTACTTGAGCCAGAACCCGCGGGTGGCCGCCTGGGTGGAGGCCCTACGCTGCGAGGGCGAGACTGACAAACACTGGCGCCACCGCCGGGAGTTTTTGCTCCGCAATGCCGGGGACCTGGCCCCCGCGGGCGGCGCTGCCTCCGCGACGGAGGATGGGGCGGACGCCGAGGGCGGGACCCGCAACCGGCAGCTGCAGCAGCTTGTGTCGTTCTCCATGGCCTGGGCCAACCATGTCTTCCTTGGGTGCCGGTGAGTGCGGAAGCGTCCCTGCCCAGCCCAGCCCGTCCCGTCCCGTCGGCCGCCCCCAAACTGGGCCCAGAGCCTCCCCGGGCCCGGCCCGCCGGGGAGGGAAGTGGGGAAGCGCGGGAATCTGCGGGACCCGCTGCCCTCTAAGACGGGGAAGGCGACCCCGCGAGCGGCCGACGGGGGTCTGCGGGGCCGGGAGCGGCCGGCGGCGAGCCCAGCGCCCTCCAGATGGACGCTAGGGGGAAAGACTGGAACAGACACCCGCCGGCATTTGTTTATGGGGTTCCAGGAAACAAAGTTCTTGACGGTTGGGACACTTTGTTGATTGCAACCTGGAAATGCAGTTCCTGTGACCTGCTTTTTGTTTGTTTGCTGTTTGCACACTACAAAGAGTATTTTAGGGGTAAAAACACTATAAAGGCGGTTTTTGCTTCTTTTTCAGGTACCCTCAAAAAGTTATGGATAAAATTCTTAGTATGGCTGAAGGCATCAAAGTGACAGATGCTCCAATCCATACAACAAGAGACGAACTGGTTGCCAAGGTGAAGAAAAGAGGGATATCGAGTAGCAATGGTTAGCAGATCATAGATGTGAACATACATAGGAGTTTAGAAAATACGTTTGATATAATTAGGAATTATTGTTCTTACTAATTTTTTTAACAAGCCAGAGTTTATAAAATGTTATTAATCATGTTGGAATGTTAAACCTAAACCATATGTCTATGTGTTTTAGTCTCTGAATTTAATAGTTCTTTTTATTACTTTAGATTTTGAATTGTCCCTTGTCTGAATGCTGTTAACTTAATATTAGAAATCAATAATGTTATTCAACACTGCTTTAAGAAATTAATGAAGTATTTTTGCCTTGTGGCTTTATTTTAATAAATATCATGTCATTTGGTAAGTGTGAGGTATTCCTAGTCAAATATACGTGTTTTCCTTCTTTTTAGAAGGGGTAGAAGAGCCATCCAAAAAGCGAATCATAGAAGGAAAAAACAATTCTGCAGTTGAGCGAGATGGAAAAATTTCTGCTAAAACTGAACGGACATCAGCTCAGCAGGAAAACAGTTCAACATGTACGGGGTCATCCACCAAATCGGAGAGTAGTGGGAACTCATCTCGGAGCTCTGGCATCTCCAGTCAGAATAGCTCTACAAGTGATGGAGATCGATCTGTTTCCAGCCAAAGTGGCAGCAGCATTTCCTCTCAGGTAACAACAGCAGGGTCTGGAAAAGCTTCTGAATCAGAAGCTCCAGATAAACATGGTTCAGCATCACTTGTTTCTTCCTTGTTGAAATCCAGTGTGAATAGTCATGTTATTCAATCCACTAATTCCAGACAGCAAAGTGGATCACCTAAAAAGAGTGCTTTGGAAAGTTCTTCGGTCTCAGCTTCTCAGAGCAGCTCAGAGATTGAGGTGCCCTTGTTGGGCTCCTCTGGCAGCTCAGAAGTAGAGTTGCCATTATTATCTTCTAAACCTAGTTCAGAGACAGCTTCAAGTGGGTTAACTTCCAAAACTAGTTCAGAGGCAAGCGTTTCATCATCGGTTTCTAAAAACAGTTCCTCATCAGGCACATCATTACTAACTCCCAAGAGCAGCTCAACAAATACATCATTGCTAACTTCCAAAAGCACTTCACAGGTAGCTGCATCACTGTTAGCTTCCAAAAACAGCTCCCAGACCAGTGGATCTCTGGTTTCCAAAAGCACTTCCTTAGCAGGTGTGTCCCAGCTAGCGGCTAAGAGTAGTTCTCAGAGTAGCACTTCACAGTTGCCTTCTAAAAGTACTTCACAGTCAAGTGAGAGTTCTGTCAAATTCTCTTGTTGCAAGTTAACCAATGAAGATGTGAAACAGAAGCAGCCTTTCTTCAATAGACTGTATAAAACTGTGGCATGGAAATTAGTAGCAGTCGGTGGCTTTAGTCCCAATGTGAATCATGGAGAGCTCCTAAATGCAGCTATTGAGGCTCTGAAAGCAACACTGGATGTGTTTTTTGTCCCATTAAAAGAACTGGCAGACCTGCCTCAAAATAAAAGCTCTCAAGAAAGTATTGTTTGTGAATTAAGGTGTAAGTCTGTGTATTTGGGCACTGGGTGTGGAAAAAGCAAAGAAAATGCAAAAGCAGTTGCATCAAGAGAAGCACTGAAGTTATTTCTCAAGAAAAAGGTGGTGGTAAAAATATGTAAAAGGAAATACAGAGGCAGTGAGATAGAAGATCTGGTACTCCTTGATGAAGAATCAAGACCTGTAAACTTGCCTCCAGCATTAAAACATCCTCAAGAATTACTATAATATGTTCAAAATAGCACTGCACACAGTATCTGGTATTTGAAGAGAAAAAACTGGCTTACTTTTGTACACTATAAAACACGGGCTTTCACAGATTTTGTATTGCTTTTTTCCAGTTTTGCAGAAAATTTAATTCTAGTTCTCTTCATAAAAGTAGAAATTGTAAATAATTTATGATTGACAGTACACATTAAAAGGTATGCACTAACAGCATGCTAGTATGCTGTTTTATTTGCTGAAGAAAGTACTGTCTTCTATTTTTAATGATACATTGGGTACGATGTGTAGTTCTGTAGTCTGAAAATTTTTGTAATACTTTGAATTTGGTGAAAATGTATTAAGTTGTCTACCATGGTTTTTTTTCTAGCTGAATTAAACCATATCAAAGAAAAGGGGACCACAGTATTTGAATGTTGGAAAGTCTGTGAAACTTAAGGTTTTAAGAATGTTACCCATAATGTTGAACAAGTCTTAAAGAATAAAAGAAAAAATAGTTGCCTCAGACTATTTTTATTAGAAGTTGTAAGCATTTTTTAGATACAAAGCAGTATAAAGTACTTATTGTTATTTTATTCTGAAGTTGTTTAAAATTCACCATGATTTTCACCGCTGGTGATTGTTTAAGCGGGTTAATTTATGTTTTGAGGTAAAATGCAATTTACACTTTTTCTTAAAGACATAAATGTGGGTTTCTATATTAAGCATATTTTGTGACTACTATTAACAGATTGATTTGTTTAGATATTAAATGCTTTAAGCTATTTTACCTTTTCAAGAAGTTGTGTTTTTTTTCCTCCCAAAGTCAGAACCAAGTCTCGCCTATACGTTTCCCACCAGTAATCATAATAAGTTACAATGAGGTAATTTTTATTCTGACACACAAGTTTTGGATAGGAAAGTAACAATTTTCAGATCTACAACTAGATGGGTTTTGTGATTGTAAATCTCATAGAAGAATACTGAGAAGACTAGAGAGCCATGTTCAATTCTTCAGTGAGCCCTTTCAATTGAAATGTTAGTAATGAAGTGGAATCTTGTTTCTGTGTCCTAGGTGATTCTTGACTATATTAATCTTTTGTAGTATATTTTTAAACTCTGGCCTAAAGTGTTTGGTTATCTTTGTGACCTGACTTTCTAGATGCTGCACACTGAACAGTAGTGGTGATAATGTACAGAGAAAAGAAACAACCTTTTATGGGCCAGTTGTATTGGCATTGAACATAAGTAGCACAATTTAAGTATATAGAAGTTATTCCTGTTTTATATTCTAGGAATAATAGACAAGAATAGTTTAGTTTCCTGTGCTTGAAATGAAATAATCAGGGATGTTTTTATTTTATCAGATAACCTTTAAAAATGACTTGTTTTTGAAGATGTTTGATTGGATACCAGAGCTAAAATCTGTATTCTGTAAATGGGTTGCCTTTATATATTGTGGGGAGCAATAACTTGAATGTATTATGAAAGCACTTTTAATCGTTTAATCTTGGAATGTGTATTTTGTGGGACAATACTTACCAGAAAGTGAGCCAAAATTTAGAATAAATACATTTCTGAAATACATCTTAGATGATTTGATAATTTCCTAAAATGGTATGTTTTAACTAATATAATACAATTTTAAATTATAGTAATCTTCTGATGTGGAGAAAAATGGAATTAAAACAAATGTAAGTGTTTATTGTAATCTAAGGGAAATGCATATTTTATGATTCCTCAAGGTGGTATAGTGCAAAAGAAGACAAGCTTTGGAGTCTCATCTTGAGGTAGAATCTGTACATGGAACATCTGGGAATTTAACCTTTTAGTCATCTATAAAACAGGACTGCATGGAGCTGAAAGTCAGATGATGTAAAGTGCCCAGCATAGTTCAGGTATACCATAGATTACTAATTACGTATTTAAGTTATCCTCATTTCCTCATGACCTTATGAGTAGTTATTCTCATTTGGCCAATTTTTTATATGAAGAAACTGAAATGTAATTTGGTTAAAGAATTCAGGTCTATGTTTGATTTCAGAACCCAGGGTCTTAAGTATTTTCTGTTATTTTTCTCACCATTGTATGCAAACATTTTCTACCAGTTAAGTGTCTTAACATCTTTCCAAAGTCCCTCGAAATTAGTCACTGCAGAAGCTCTGCTGTTTGTTATTAATGCTTCTCAGTAGTGCTTGCATTACCTGAATATTGTCTAGTGAATCATCCTATGTGGGTGCATTCGAAGTTTGTAAAAAGACAGAAAACAAACACTGGAATGATTTGTAATCTAGTGAATAGATTATCAGGATATAATCCTGATGATTTCATTAAAATCAGTGAAATGAGACATCTAAGACATTTTTCTTCATGGTAAAATTAGAATTTTTTTCTTTAATAGTATGAAAGTTGATTTTGAAGAATAGCCTTGTCATGAATTTTGACCCAAATTCTTGGGGCTTGCCACTTCTCTTGCCTAGAATAGATGTCTTAAGGGTGTGTGTAGTTCCAAGGTCTTTAATAGGTGTTAACAAAAACTTGCTCCAATTTAAATTAACATATGAAAGGGTCAGGGTTTCTCCTGTGAAAGACAGCTATTCTCTTAGTGAAAATCTATCCTTGCTGTTTGGATTCCTGAGTTAGTGGCAATAAACGTGTCCAAACCAAGCAGCAGCTGGGAGCTGGTCAGTGCTACAGGTGTTGTGTTATTACTATAATAGAAGAACTTCTGGACTTAGTCCCCAAAAATTGTGCTAAGGTTCTAAATTGACCCACTTTCTAGACATTGTCAAAATTATGGATATTAGTTTCTGCATGAGTTTCAAGTTTTCTGTGGTGAGTAAAAGACTTCACTTTCTGCAGTTTGAACAAAAATAGATGAATACAGGGATTATCAAACCATTTTTTTAAATACTCCCCAAGAAAAATATTAATACTAGATTGTTCACATCTTTTTGGTTTCCCTTATAGAATTTAATTGCTGTCTAGTTAGAACCACTCCTTTTTCCTTTTCCAGTTTTAACATCACTTTTTGTTTCACTCTTAAAAAGACATAAAAGTTAATGTCTTTAAATTTCTTATTTTCTGTCCTTCAGCTGTTTATACAGCAAGAAAAAAATGTAATGAATGGACAAGACCATTGTCTTGGTTATCAGGAACAACCATAAACACATATCCTAAACTATAAAACTGGTATTGAAGTAGGACTATAATGAATATAATGACAAATGCACCAAAAGGTTGACTGGGAGGGTAAGGGTAATAACACCTCGTGTTTTCCTTACATTGCATTCAATGGTACCAGGGCTGAGACACTTGGAAATAAAACCTGAATTCTGAATATGTAACCACTGGTTTTAAAACTACTTACCCACATTTCTTAGAAGAAAAGTAGCATTGTATATGTGAAACGGACATTAGCTAGCTGCCTTGGTTAAAGGAGGATGGGCACACCCCACAGCTGGAATTCCCTCTGCATTCCATTCTCAAGTTTTGAGGCACCTCTGAACTGTGTAAATAGCTTGCTTCTCCTACAACAGGTATTAGCATGGATGTGGGTAGAAGCTACCAGTTTAGTATAAAATGGAACTAATCTTTCAAGTAGTATGCCATGTTAGTATTTGTTAATTAGTGAAGACTCAGGTCAGACTTAAGGGATCATTTCAGAAATGAAGATAGTTGCCATTTTCTAAAATTGTGAAATACAATTACAAAAGTATACATACAATTATTGAATGCCCACATAACAATTACCTTCATCAAAAATAAAACTGTTAGTGTTTCAGGGACTCAAATTCAGTATTCTCATAGAAAGGACTAAGCAATGGCTTAGTTCTAATTTGGGGAACTAAATGAGAATACCATTGAGACATGCTGTCCCATAATTATTTCCTATATTACAGAAAATAGTAATTATACTTTGAGGAAAAGTTGAGAAATGTTTTATGTTTAAATGTTTAGGAAGTTTTTTTTTTTTCTTAAAGTAAAAAGGCTGAGGATATAGTTCAGTAGTAGAGTGTGCTTAGCATACTTTGATCTCTAGCACCTTCCCCCGTTTAAAAAACACTGGGATGCTTTTCTAGATATTGTACAATTCGAAGGCATAACAATGACAATCGATGTAATGAATGGTTGAAACAATTTTATATATTAGGAATCCTATCTTGTTACTCTTCAGCATTTTGTAATTTACTAGCTAAGGAAAGAAATTATTCTTGTGGAGTGAAATCTAAGTTCTGGGGAGGCATTTTTAGTTTACCTTACCTATGGCACTAATGTAACAGCATTCCACAATTAAGGATGGGGTTACCACAATGCTCTCAACAACCTGCACTTTGGAAATCAATATGGGGTAAAATACACTTTTAATGTTCTCATTTTTCGTTTCAAAATACTAAATGCAGTTAACAAGAAATATGGGTAAAGTGAGGATATTTTGAAAATATTCCTTTTCCCTGCAATTCATATTCCAAGCAGCCATTCTGCCAGTATGACTCCTGTGTAGGGGAAGAGAGAGGGATGAAGTGACTTTTAGGGATGCCCAAATCAGGGAGGGCAAGAAAGTAAAAATTCACCACCTTACCCATTCCAGCCCTGGCAAATTTTAAAGGGAGAGGGGTAAAGAATCAGGCCTTTGAGTCCCAACCTCTTTAGTGTGTTTTGTCTGTGTCAGTATTGATGAGGTAAAGATAATAACTATTAAATGAGCTTCCTCTCATCCCAATTATAATTTTAAAAATGCTTCTAGGGGTCCATGAAAAGCAGAGGGCTGGAATTAGAAATCCAGATCTACTCATTTGCACAATACCAGGGGGAGTTACTGACATGCAATATAATGGATGTCATTTAATACAATGAATGGTGACGTGGAGTTGTGGAACGAGGAGATTCTTTTTGGAATCTCTGAGATTATAAGGAAACTTGTTAGAAAAGTCTTTTTTTTAGGCAGGCACACTACCACTTGAGCCACTCTGCCAGCCCTTTGTGTGTGTGTGTGTGTGTGTGTTGGGTATTTTCAAGATAGGGCATTGTGAACTATTTGCCTGGGCTGGCCTTGAACTATGATCCTCCTGAGTGCTGCCTCCTGAGTACCTAGGATTACAGGCGTGAGCCATCAGCACCTGGCTAGAAAAATCTTAACAGGTAGTTTGAAATACTGGTTTGGGATGGCTGAGTGGCTCAAGTGATAGATTTCCTGCCTAGCAAGTGTGAGATCCTGAGCTCAATCCCCACTACTGCAAAAAAAAAAAAAAAAAAAAGTGGTTCTATGAAGCATGGGTAGCATGTAAATTTTAACAAACTGTTCCTGAAGGTAATATGCAAGTTATTTGCCAAAGCTGGGGGCACAAATTACTTTGCCTGACATACTCTTCTACAGGAGGAATTATTTTAAGACAACAGCCTAAAGTCAAGTTATATGAGATACAATAAGGCTACCTAAGTTAGGTTTTTTTCCTTCTATTTACACATATTGGGGAACTAAACAGATGAAGATTTACATGAGCTCAGGTATGGAATAAAACTATCTGCTTTGTGTTCTCTCCAGGTAAAAAATGTCCATTAATTTATTGCATTAAGTTTGCTTCTGAACATTCAGTATAAATGCAGCATTTCTTTTTCACTTTCCCTTTCATCTTTTTTTTTTTTTTTTTGGCCCCCTTTTTTCTTGGTAGCAACCTTTTGCTGGTATGAGCTAACAAATGAAGGAAGATTTAAAGACATATATTTCAGAAACAAGATAACACTTCTGAAGTCAGATATCCTATCAGTTTTAGTGCTGTTGGTTCTAAAAGAAC